CGCTTATTTAAATTATCAATATTTTGTGTTGTCAAAGTGAATGGAAATGATCTTGCAATTGGATAATCCTACTAGAGAAAGGCTCAGCCCAAACTTATTCTTCGGTTTGTTACATCACCCAAAATAGAGACAGATAATCAGATAAAAATGGGTCACAAACATCTTGTCCATTCCTTTGTGTAAAGAGTCTACCCTTGAATTACATTTATCCATATTCCTTTTATTTCAATGCCTCCTTAGTAATAAGAACATAGGAAAGGCTGGGCACAGGGACTCAAGCCTATAATTCCAGCACTTTGGGAGGCCAAGGCAGGCAGATCGCTTGAGGTCAGGAGTTCGAGCCTGGCCAACATGGTGAAACCCCGTGTCTACTGAAAATACAAAAATTAGCCAGGTATGGTGACGCAGGCCTGCAGTCCCAGCTACTCAGGAGGCTGAGGCAGGAGAATCTCTTGAACAAGAGAGGTGGAGATTGCAGTGAGCCAAGATCGTGCCACTACACTCCAGACTGGGCATTGCAGTGAGACTTCATCTCAAAAACAAGAAGACAGGGAATATTTACAGTCTGTTTTACATTATTCATATGACATGTCTCTATCATATATCATATATGTGTACACATACAAAACCACACAGAAACATAAACACACACATACACTCCTATAGAGACATATACATAAATAAGTAAAACATTGTTCAATTAAATAGAAACACTGAAAGTTGAAATCTGCAGACAGTATTTATGTCTTTGTTTAATGTTACAAACTTACAGAAAGTGAGAACGTTATAAAAGTAATAGCATCGTGTAGAGTATCATGTAAGAATTATTAATAATTTCCCATTTACATTCCTGAATTTCAGCTTCTGGTTCCTCATTAAATTATAGAGGAGATAATGGGACATCTGGTTCTAAAAACAGCATGTGAACATTGGCTATTCTGCCATTTAGAAATACAATTGCTACTAAGTTACCCTGGAATCTCTTCACTAACCTTCCGCATCTGTTATTAGGTCCCAGGCCATTTGAATTGGTTGTGCTTTTTATAGTTATACATTACAATGGTAATTAGATAATATAATCATCTTAGAATAAATGCTGAGATTTGGCATAACATTATGTGGGCAATCTTTCTAAAATGTATTTTTTTAGAAGATGCGTAATTAGAATAAAGAATTACTATTCACCAGAAATATTAACATGTACAGAAAACTTGTTTTTTAATGTTATGGCTATATTTTATGATTTTAAATATTTTTCTTGGTAAAAGATATTTTTAAATAACTATATTTGATAATTTCTTAGATTTGTTTTCTGCATATTTCACATTTTATGTTTCACCTCGCCTCTACTATCTTGTACAGAAAAAATACACCAAACCAATTATGTTTACTGGTTACAACTCAAAATCCAACGGACTTTTCCTGAAATAAATTTTGCAGCACAATTTATTTTAGCTACAGAATTGCCATGCCCATCTTTACTTGTCTTGTGATCGTCACTAAGAAGCACAGATGAGCACCGATTTAATAATACAAATTAAGAATATTAAGAATATTTATTCTTAAATTATATCAAGAATGCTTTATTATTGAATAAAATGCTTATAAAATGTCCAAATTATAACTTTTGTAGATACATGATCATTTCTTCTAGAAATGTATTACTACTTGAAACAATAACTATGAATCAAGTTGTAATTTAATATAAATGGTTTTTGTATCTATTATTGTATATTGTCTCTGAGTGTGTGTGTACATTTTAGTGACTATAGTTGCCACTTTAAAGAATTTCGGAACAAAATATTGAAAAGAATATTTTCATAACTATGGTTAATCCATGTTTTCTTGGATATATATTAATAATGACATTTTATTTCATCGCATTCTTTCTGCAAACAGCTTATGCTAGTTATGTACGGAAACTAGCTTCTCAACAAATAGCACCAACCAGTTTATATCCCTCTGCATCCTTTCTGCTCTAATGATCTCGACATGTATCATGTGCTGAGAGTCAACTGGTGCCCAACAAAAGGTAAACACTTATAGTCAAAGTATAACACGTGGTAGAGTGTTTTGACACACTTCAATACTTTTTGCGTCTATAAACTTTGCCTCCTGTTGAAAGCCTTCTCAATTATTTAAGGCAGAATTTTAATGATTTTTTTTTTTTGAACTCACATTACAAGGACAATTACTACCTTTTTAATCCAGCTTTTGCTTTTGATTACTTAGGGAAGTTAAGAAGTAAGTAAAAGTTTCCCACTGTGAATCCCTCTCTATGCTTTCTCATTTTTATAGCCTGGCTTAGAGAAAAATTAAGAGCTTGCTTTAAAGGAATAAAAAATTTGAAGTGGCTGCTAGAAGAATCTGAAGCCAAAGAGAAAAGCATAGTTAAGTACAACTTTCAACATGACTAGTGGTCATTTATGAGGCATTTATTTCAATGGTAACTAGGTCCTACCAGTAGTAAAATACTTTTGGGTAAAAATCTGATACAATTTTTTTTAAGTTTTATTTTAAGCTCAGGGATACATGTGTGGGTTTGTTACATAAATCGATGTGTGTCATGGGGATTTGTTGTGCAGATTATTTCATCACCCAGGTATTAAGCCTAGTATCCACTAGCTACTTTTCCTGATCCTCTCCTTCCTCCCACCCTCCATGCTCCAATAGTCCCCAGTATGTGTTGTTCCCATCTATGTGTCCATGTGTTCTCATCATGTAGCTCCCACTTATAAGTGAGAGCATGTGGTAGTTGGTTTTCTGTTCTTGCATTAATTTGCTAAAGATTATGGCCTCCAGCTCTATCCATGTCCCTGCAAAGAACATGATCTTGTTCTTTTTTATGGTTTCATAGTATTCCATGGTGTATATGTACCACATTTTCTTTATCCAGTCTATCATTGATGGGCATTTAGGCTGATTCCATGTCTTTGCTATTGTGAACAGTGCTGCTATGAACATTCGTGTGCCTGTGTCTTTATAATAGAAGAATTAATATTGCTTGGGGTATATAGTCGGTAATGGGATTGCTGGGTCAGTGGGAGTGTAAATTAGTACAACCATTGTGGAAGACAGTATGGCAATTCCTCAAAGACCTAATATTATGTGATTTTAATACATATAGAAAAAAACAAATATGAATATTTGTGAAATACTAGTTTAAAAAGGATGACTTTAGAAACTTTGATTAAAGATTTCTTTTAAAATCATAAGAAGAATAAGTTTTTCATAATCAAGATTCTGCTCTTCAAAATATCGACATCTTTGAAGTCCCTAAATATAGACTTATAGACTTATGTTAAATATTTCATTAAATCTGTTTAAACACTAGACTCATAATCTTATTATTCTGATCGCACCTATAATTCCTATTAAAAAATGAAGCCTAGAATAAATTTTGTCAGTTATATTTCCTAATAACAAGCACTTTACCTTTCTCTACTTCAGTAAAGAAACTGCTAATTAAATGCAGGCAGTAATATAATATTAAGTCAGAAATAGATCAAAAAAAGAAAATCACTTAGAAACCATAAATGGAGTAAGTTAATTATTCTTATATTAAGATAACCACATTACTTAATAACAAGGTTTTTAACTAACAGGGAAATTCTAATGGCATTTTTTGTCAAGAAATAGGTGATTTCAAAATAAATGTTAATTCTTGCATAATTTAGACATGCCAATATATACACAAATTTATTATGATAAAATGCCTAGAATCTTTGAGACTAAATATCTACCTGTTAAATATTATATGCTTTTATTATCATTGGTCTTATAAAATTAAAACAATGTTCCAGAAAGTTTGTTTTGGTAACAAGAGACTACATAAATTGGACTAACATATTCATAGAAGAAGTGAAACTGCAGCAAACAGACACGTAAACAGTATGAATCAAATACAAATGTTGTAAGCTAGTGAGCGCAAATTCACCACTGAGACAAAAGTAAGCCAATTCAGAGGGTCGTTTATTGCTGGCGGCCACAGAGGACTCGAGTTTCTCTAACCCATGGCCCCGAAAGGAGGGTGTCAAGACCTTTTATACTCGTAAATCACCTCCTGGGCAGGGGTGGGGGCGAGGGGTTTTGGACATTCCAAGGGCCAGTGGACTTTGGACATTCTGTAAACCACTTCCTGGGCGAGGGTGAGGGTGAGGGGCTTCCGACATCCCGATTGTTACTTAAGTGGTTCACAGAAGTCAAGATAAGGGTTAGTTTACACATTGCCTGGGTAGGGTGGAAATTACATACCTTAGTTACTTATTACAAGTCGCAGGGGCCAAGATGGCGTGGGTTTGGACTGTTTGCCTGTCACATCAGGGTTACAGAAAGCAGTTTCAACAGAAAGCCAAGGTATGGTTGAGGTATGCAGGTTTATGGGGCTTTTACCATGTCACATTCCCTCCTTGTTTTATTTACAGGAATTAAATCATTAATTCCTCCAATAAGTTAGTATTGTTTGTTTGTTCTAAGAGGGGTTTGCTATAGGGATTTACAGCACAGATTAGGGTGACGACGGTGGTGACAACAAAGAGCGCACAAGTCCTAGCTTTAGTGAACCAGGGGATGAGTGTTTGACACTCCATTGTTCTTCCGCTGGGGCAGTCTTGACATGGGTGTGATGAATCCAGGCCGTTAGTCCGTCCACCTTGAGTGTGGTGGGTGTGGTCAGGATAACTGTGTAGGGTCTGTTTCAACAGGGGGTGAGGCCGGAGGTGGCCAATTTTTTAACAAAGACAGAGTTTCATGGCTCGGAGTGGTGTGTTGGCTGGTCTTCGAGGTCCAATGGGGTGGGACAGGTGTCCTTAATGAGCTGGCATACCTGGGATTGAACAGGGTGGAGCGCCTGTAAGGACTGACTCCATTGACCATGAAGCTGTTGCCATCAGTATACAGTACCTCCTCCGGATTCTGGACTGGAGTTGATGTTGCCGATAGCTGGACCACAAGTGGGGTACCGCGGCTTGCCAAGCCTGAGGAATTTGTCTTAACCCATACTCCCGGTACATTTTCTTGGAACTGGCGGAGGAGGTCTGATGTTGGTGGTTGATTTGCCTCTGAGGATAAAGCTTTCTGCAAAAGATACTTATCTGACAGGGCACAGGTGATGAGGATTTGCTGAGGTGTCCTAAAAGCCAAGGGAGGAGGAACCGAGAAACAAGCTTGACTCTCATAGAAAGAAATATTTGTTTGAAGTTTGTGAAGTAAGTCCTGTCCTAGGAGTGGGTACGGACACTCTGTCAAAACTAAGAAGGAATAGGTAACGGTGCCGTTTTTTTTTTTTCTCCTGTTTATTTATTTATTTATTTTATTGCATTTTGGGGTACATGTGAAGAACATTCAAGATTGTTGCATAGGTACACATGTTGTAGTGTGATTTGCTGCCTTCCTCCCCATCACCTACATCTGGCATCTCTCCCCATGCTATCTCTCCCCAACTCCCCACCCCCCGCTGTCCCTCCCCTATTTCCCCCCAATAGACCCCAGTGTGTAGTGCTCCTCTCCCTGTGTCCATGTGTTCTCATTGTTCAACACCAGCCTATGAGTGAGAACATGTGGTGTTGTATATTCTGCTCTTGTGTCAGTTTGCTGAGAATGATGGTTTCCAGGTTCATCCATGTCCCTACAAAGGACACGAACTCATCATTTTTGATGGCTGCATAATATTCCATGGTGTATATGTGCCACATTTTCCCTGTCCAGTCTATCATCAATGGGCATTAGGGTTGGTTCCGTTTTTTAAGTCAATGACTCGATTTGTGGTCCATGAACTGGTCGTGGTCTTTCCTGTGGCCACCTGGATGACTGTTTTACTGGATAGTGGTCCCAGAGGCTGAGTAAGGACTGAGTGGGCTGCCCTGCTGTCTATGAAAAGACTGATAGTTTGCTTCCAATCTTTAAAATAACCCTGGGCTCCAGGGTGCTTAACAAATAAGAACCCTGGCCCTGTCAATCCTGACATTTTAAATTGAGGATAGCCCTCCATGGCTTTTCCTAAGCAGTTACTAGTCTTTTCCTCTTGGGGCACTCATTTTTTCTAATGTTTCTCTTTTTTACAGTATGTCCATTGGTTTCTTCCTAACGGAGGCCAGACACCCCGGGTGCCCTTTTGCAAGGCCCCCTGCTCTCATGAAATGACTCATGTCTTCTGAAGGGCTGCTATTACTGCATTAGTAACTTTTTTGTCTTATACGACTCCAGGAGCATCTCTGTTATTAAAAACCTTCTGGGCAATTTCCAGCAATTGGATTAAATTTATTCGCTGGAATCCATCTAGATTTTGTAACTTTTTCCTGATATCTGGGGCTGACTGGGAGACAAAGGCTAAATTAATGGCCCGTTGATTTTCCGGGGCCTCAGGGTCTATAGGAGTATAGGCTCGGTACGCCTCTTGTAGGCATTCCAGGAAAGCAGCCGGTGACTCCTGCAGACACTGAGTCACTGTTTCTACCTTGGAGAGGTTGATGGACCTCCTAGCCACCCTCTTAACCCTCGCTAAAATACACCAGTGAAAAGTGTCCAGAGCCTGGTGACCCCCCAAGGTGTTGGGTTCCCAATTGGGGTCGGGTAGAGGGAAAAACCTCTTCAATTCGGTCCTGGTTCTCTTCTACTGTTCCTCCCCCTGGACCTATGATGGCTTTCAGGGCTTCCTGTCTAATTCTGCCTCTTTCCTCTGTGGTGAACAGAATCAGTAATAATTTTTGACAGTTATCCCAAGTGGGGCTATGAGTCTGGAGTACAGATTCCAAGGGCCCTGTCAAAGCCTAGGGTTTCTCAGAGAAGGGGATATGTTGAGCCTTCTTACAGAACTTACTCCATGTTAAAACCCCGCCACCGCCTCAAGCTCCCCAGCCTCCCAGCACAACCCACTCCTGGGGAACTTTCCATCTCAGCAGGTCCCTAACCCTCCGCCTCTCACCATCTTAGCAGTTCCCAACCACAACCCTCTCCTGGGAACTATTAAACTCAGCAGTTCCCACCTCCCCTCCTGCACAGCCCCTCACACTGGATGCATCTGCCGGCTTGCAAGCCATAAAAATCCCTTTTGCCACACCATGGGTGCTACACACCAATTTTGGGTGCAGGCCAGCAGCTTTTCCCTTGCTCTTAATAAAGCTTATTCCGGCACCTGGTGTTTCAGCCCTCTTTTTAATTTCTATTACCTTCCAGTTATATAAATCACTTGACAAGAAGGTGATGTGAACAAAGAATGGGCGACCCCGATTGTCTTCTCCCATTGGGGGCGCCTTTCGGAGAGGAAGGACTGCAGGTGTGTGTGGAGACCTGCTGCAGGTGTGCAGCGGGGACATGGGTTAGTTCCCGTCCGGTGGGTGCTGAGGCCCTGGTTCAGATGGCCTTGAGTAGGGTGTAGGTGATTCCTGATTCTCCGCTGGGGAGGGAAGTATGACTGGCGCAGAAGGGACTCCCTTAGGGCCTGCCAGCATAGCTTGTAATCCAGCATGCTTTATGCAGCGTTTAAGCCAAGAGGGGGGCTGTTGAACTAAGCCTAGCCACTGGTCAATGTATGGAAACTGATCTGAGTGCCCAGAGGAGCCTGTCACCACATTCCATACAGCATGGGTTGCCTTGGGATTATATGTCCTGGAGTCTGGCCACCCCACCTCAAATGATGGCCACTCCAATTTACACAGGGTGCGGAGTTTTTTCGGGGTTAGTTTTACCCCAAATTGGCCTGAAAATCTAGCCTTGAAATTGGCTGTCATGCACTGGAGGGGGGTACAGGGCTGGGAACTAGAAGATCCCATCTGGTTTTTTGTTATTTTTTTCACCAATTCAGATGGAAAAGTTCTGCTGTAGAGAGAGCCAATCCTAAGCAAGACAAATTATACAAAACATAAAATCCTATACAGCCTTCAGCTCCTAAATTTCCCCAAGAGGCTTTCCTCCATTTAAGATTGGCCTCACTGAGGATCCAACAACCTTGCAGCTGCAGGCCCTGCACCTTAACTACTGTCCTAGCAGGCCATTTGCATTAAAGGTGGGCAGAAACCTTCCTTAAGCCGTATTTTGGATGCAAATACTGCACCCCAAGGCAGTGTGGCCTGCCTGAAACCCGGGCTGGCTGGTGGCTGGCAGAGAAAAAAAAAAGTTTTTTGCGTCAGTTTAAAACTGAGCTCGCCACCGCTGGGCCGGCTGCGAGTTCCCCGCCCCTGAGGCTTTTGGTCGCCTTGACACTGGGACCCTAAAAAGCGTTAAATTCATCTCTCCCTATCTCTCTGTTTTCTCATTCTCTCTCTTTTTTCTTCTTTTCGTCTCTTTTTCTTCCTACTTTCTCTGTCTCTCTCTCCCTCCCCCCTCTCTGTCTCTCTCCCTTTTGTCTTTCTGTCTCTCTTTTTTTTTTTTTTTTTTGAGAGAAGAGACAGTTACTCCTTTTTCACCCTAAAAGGGCGAAGAGGGCCGGTAGATTTTTATTTAAGGTTTGATTCCCTAAGACAGAGAAAAAGCTACGCCCAAATCATCGGGGCCAGAATTTTCTCTCGGACTTGAAAAAGAGGAAGAATGAGGCCTCAGTGATAGAAGAGGAAGAAGAAAAGGAAAGAGAACAGAATTATTTTCAGGGATGTAAACTCAATTAGAGTTCCTTGAAGTCAATGGTCACTTAGGCAATGGAGAATATTATCCACCTCAAGAGTAGCAGGTCTAAACCACTGTATATCAGCTAGTAACTGCCTCAGGAAACTAGAGGACTTACAATAAAGACAGGCCACACAAAAGATAGACGGACATAGGGTGGGTGTCCCCTGAGGGAGACCAGTCTGATGCCTGCCCTTCCAGGTCCCCGGATGGATGTTTCAGAACTTCTTGGCTAAGGTGTACCCCTATAAACCCCGGGCGTGGTCACTGCTAGGGTGAATCACCATTATGCCCTATGACATCCCTGTGGAACCCCAGGTGAAGGCCCACACAAGCCCCGTAGCCTGCCGGCCGTGGGACTACACATATACACTTTCGCTCTCACACTCACACAGAGGTTATGGAAGACAACCGAAAACTAAACTACCTGAGCCTCCAGTGACGTCTCACGGTAGGCTTGTCTAGTCAGAGATTAACGACCGTGTCCAGTCTCCTGACCTAAGCCCCTGACAGACCAGTCCTCCGATTTCCAGACCTGACTTACCTCCGGAAGTTCCGGAGAGCTTGAGGAATTTTGGGTAAATGTTGGCTGCGCAGTCGCCCAGTCACCAAGGGGCTGGAACCCTGGGGCCCCAGAATATCTCAGGGAGTGCCTCCCCTTGGGGACCCTGGGGAGGGAAACGGCCACCAGGGCAAGGCTCTGTGGGTTTGTCAGCATGATGAAAACTCTCGCTGGGCCTCCAAATATTGCAACCGAGTGAGTACAGCATCACCACTGAGACAAAAGTAAGCCAATTCAGAAGGTCACTTATTGCCGGTGGCCACAGAGGATTCGAGTCTCTCTAACCCGTGGCCGAAAGGAGAGTGTCAAGACCTTTTATGCCCATAAACCACCACCTGGGCAGGGGTGGGGCGAGGGGTTTTGGACATTCTGAGGGTCAGTGGACTTTGGACATTCTGTAAACCACCTCCTGGATGGGGGTGAGGGTGAGGGGCTTCGGACATTCCGATTGTTACTTAAGTGGTTCACAGAAGTCAAGATAAGGGTTAGTTTACACATTGCCTGGGTAGGGTGGAAATTACAGACCTTAGTTACTTATTACAAGTCGCAGGGGCCAAGATGGCGTGGGTTTGGACTGCTTGCCTCTCACATCAGGGTTACAGAGAGCAGTTTCAACAGAAAGCAGAGGTATAGTTGAGGTATGCAGTTTTATGTGGCTTTTACCATGTCACACAAATAATGTAATCTTAAAAGCATTAGAGAAATAACAGGATAGTGAGAAATTGCTCAGTCTATGTTCTGAAGAGAACTGTAACTCAGAGATGAGATTATACCTGGAATCACACATTGAGCTGAGTATTTTTCATTTTGAAGAGATAACAGAGATACTTAGATGTTCTTATGTGGTTTATTGCTTTCCAGGAATATGGGATAGGGAAAATAATGGAGTGTGTCCATCTCTGTGCTAGTACTTTAAGGTGCCACCATCTGCAACCGAATGCATGAACTGCAACACTCTTATCTAGATATCTTAAAAAAATACCTCTCTGGAGTAAGTTAACATCGTTACATTAATCCAATCCTTCTTATAAACAACTCTGTATTTACAATAACCAGAAAACTATAAGCTATTATATGGCCCACCAAAAGAGAAGAATACATGATGAGAAGGAGCAGAAACAATACATAACAGTAAAAGCAATCCAGTAAGATTGTAAAATGTATAATGTTTATGAAAATAAAATTCCAGGTTAGAAATTAGAAATGTTGACCAAAAAAATAGAACTATGAACATCACAAGTTTGTGACATCAGTTAGAAATTATAAAAGTAAAAAGTATCCTAAGTAAAATTAATAATTAAATGTATGTACTTAAGGTCAGATTACACACAGCTAAAAAGAGAAACAGTAAACTAGAAAAGAGATTAAAAGAAACTTTATAGAATAAAAAACAAAAACCAGATTAGGCTAATGAAACCAGGGTTCTTTTGAATACCAGAATGAGAAAACAGAAAAAATGGAGAAGTAGCATTTGAAGAAATAGCAGGTGACAGTTTTCCATAAATGTAAAAGACACTGATCAATAGATTGAAGAAGCACATCAAATTTCAAGCAAAGCAAACAAAAAACTATATTAATTCACACGGAGTCACTGTATTAGTCCGTTTTCAAGCTGATGATAATGACATCCTCAAGACTGGAAAGAAAAAGAGATTTAAATGAACTTACTGGGGAGGCCTAAGAATCATGGCAGGAGGTGAAAGGCACTTCTTACATGGCAGCCACAAGAGAAAAATGAGGAAGAAGCAAAAGTGGAATCCCCTGATAAACCCATCAGATCTCATGAGACTCATTCACTATCATGAGAATAGCACAGGAAAGACCCACCCCCATGATGCAATTACCTCTGCCTTGGTTCCTTCTACAATATAAGAAAATTCTAAGAGATACAATTCAAATTGAGATTCTAGTGGGGCACAGCCAAACCATATCATTCCTCCTCTGGCCCCTCTCAGTCTCATGTCCTAACATCTCAAAACCAATCACGCCTTCCCAACAGTCCCCCTAAGTCTTAACTAATTTCAGTATTAACCCAAAAGTTCACAGTCCAAAGTCTCATCCAAGACAAGGCAAGTCCCTTCCTCCTATGACCCTTTAAAACCAAAATAAGCTAGTTACTTCCTAGATACAGTGAGGGTGCAGGTATTGAGTAAATGGAGCCATTCAAAATGGGAGATATTGGCCAAAGCAAAGGGGTTACATGGCCATACAAATCCAAAATTCAGTGAGACAGTCACATTTTAAAGCTCCAAAATGATCTCCTTTGACTGCAAGTCTCATTTCCATGTCACGCTGATGCAAGAGTTGGGTTCCCACGCTCTTGGGAAGGTCAGCCCCTGTGGCTTTACAGGTGTACAGCCTCCCTCCCAGCTGGTTTCGCAGGCTGGCACTGAATGTCTGTGGCTTTTCCAGGCGCATGTTGCAAGCTGTCAGTGGATCTACCATTTTGGGTTCTCGAGGATAGTGACCCTCTTCTCACAGCTCCACTAGGCTGTGCCCTAGTCGGGACTCTCTGTGGGGGCTCCAAGCCCACATTTCCTTTTCACACTGCCCTAGAAGAGGTTATTCATTAGGGCCTTGCCCCTGCACCAAACTTTTGCCTGGGCATCCAGATATTTCCATACATCCATTGAAATCTAGACGGAGGTTCCCCAACCCCAGTTCTTGACTTCTGTGCACCCACAGGCTCAACACCATGTGGAAGCTGCCCGGCGGCTTCCACTCTCTGAAGCCACAGCCCATGCTGTATATTGTCACCTTTCAACCATGGAGTGGGTGGGACACAGGGCACCAAGCCCCTACCCTGCACACAGGACAGGAACCCTGGGCCCAGCCCAGGAAACCACTTGTTCCTCCTGGGCTCTGGCCCTGTGATGGGAGGGGCTGCAGTGAAGATCTCTGAGATGGCCTGGAGACAGTTTCCCAATTGTCTTGGGGATTAATATTATGCTCCTTGCTCTGTACGCAAATTTTGCAGCCAGCTTGAGTTTCTCCCCAGAAAATGGGTTTCTATTTAACCTTTATGCTCTGTTTCCCTTTTAAAATAGAATACTTTCAACAGCACCCAAGTAGCCTTTTAAATGCTTTACTGCTTAGAAATTTCATCTGCAAGATTTTCTAAATCATCTCTCCCAAGTTCAAAGTTTCAGAAATCTCTAGGGCAGGGGAAAAATGCTGTCAGTCTCCTTGCTAAAACATAACAAGAGTCACCTTTGCTCCAGTTCCCAACAACTGCCTCATCTCCGTCTGAGACCACCTCGGTCTGGACATTATTGTGTTCATATCACCATTAGCGTTTTTGTCAAAGCCATTCAACAAGTCTCTAGGAGGTTACAAACTTTCCCACATTTTCCTGTCTTCTTCTGAGCCTTCCAAACTGTTTCAACTTCTGCCTGATACCTAGTTCAAAAGTTGCTTCTACATGTTTAAGTATCTTTTCAGCAACACCCCACTCTACTCGTACCAGTTTACCATATTAGTTTTCATGCTGCTGATAAAGACATAACTGAGACTGGGAAGAAAAAGAGGCTTAACTGGATTTACAATTCCACATGACTGGGCAGGGCATGGATAGAATAATGTTGGGAGGCAAAAGGCCCTTCTTACATGGCAGTGCAAGAGAAAAATGAGGAAGAAGCAAAAGCGGAAACCCCTGATAAACCCTTCAGATCTCGTGAGACTTATTCACTATCATGAGAATAACAAGGGAAAGACCAGCCTCCAGGATTCAATTACGTCCCCCTGGGTCCCTCTCACAACATGCAGGAATTCTGGGAGATATAATTCAAGTTGAGATTCATGTGGAGACACAACCAAATTGTGTCAGTCACTAAACAATGAAATTAAACAAAATTAGGAATGCTCAATTTACCAGTGCAACAAACCTGCACGTGTACCTCTGAACCTAAAGTAAAACTTTTTCTTAAAAAAAAAAAAAAAAAAAAACTATGCAAGACAGAGAGAAATCTTAAAATTTTGCAAATTAAAAGATACAGCCTGGCTATATGGTCAGTAGAATTAGACAGGTAACATTTCATCAGCAAAAGTAAAACAAGAAAACAGTAGAATGATATACTGGAAATTATGCAACAAAATAAAAATTGATCTTAGAATTAAAATAAAATTAATATATTTTCAAAAAATAGAAGAAAGAACATGCATGTCTAGTAAACTTGCCTTAAAGTAAATTCTAAAAATGTTCTTCGGACAGAAGAAAAATGATTCTAGATGAACACTCACAGATGCAAGGAGTGGACAACAACAAAAATAAATAAAATTAAAAAGAAGAAAAAAATTAAATACAAATGTTAAACTTTAACAGTAAACTTTGATAGTGCAAGAATACCAAATAATATAATATTTATAACATTGGGTAGAAAAAGATTTTGTTAACCAGACACAAATGAATTCATCATAAAGAAAGTGATTTATAAGTTTGACTACGTTGTAATTTAAAATATCTATTCCTCAAAAGATACTACTGAAAAATCAAAACCACAAGTCACCAAGCAGAAGAACCTTGTAACCCACAAAACTAACAAAAGTCTTATATTTCAAATGCATTCTTCTACACATCACTAAGAAAAAGTTAAACAACTCATTAACAAAACAATCAGGAAATCGACAAAAGACTTCAACAAGTGCTTTGTGAATTAGTCTATATGACTAAGAAAAATCTGAAAATTGTTGAATTATCTATGCAATTAGGGAGACGAATTTTTAAACCAAAACCCTTCAGACTGGCTTGAATTTAAAAGTCGAATGAGAATAACTGTTGAGAAAAATAGGAAGCAACATAAATTCTTATATACCATGAACAAAAGTGTAAATGTATATTATAAACTTGCTCCATTAGTAAATGAAGCCTCATCTAGCAAACATTCCTGGTCAACCCATTTCCAAGGACCAAGTTAGCCATATCCCTTGCAGAAGCTTAGAGTTTTGACATAGAAAAAGGCAGAGTGTTTAGCTGTTATAAAGAGATAACGGAAGTAAGAACACATACTTTTTAAAGACACCTTTAATATACAGGACAGAGAAGAAAGGGAAGCCATATATGGGGAGAGAACAGTATGATACAGAATAGGTTAAAAGAATCTGGAGTTTATCCTGAGAAAAAGGGGCCAGTAGAAAGAAAAGTTCTGAATATAAAATTGAGAATAGAATTATTTCTGCCAAAACTGCTGAAAGTAATTAGGAGAACTTATAATCACAAATATAAACAAAAACATTTAGCAACTAGGGTAAAATGGTAATTTCTTCCTATGCTATTAGTGAAGATTGAGAAGTTATAGAAATATATGACTAAAAGATTTTTCAATGAAAGTTTTTCTGGGAAACAATGAAGAAAAAATTCTTGTGCAAAATTGAAATTTTGTTTTTTATTTCATTATATTTTTTATTCTACAATAAGGATAGTACAATACTAAAGACAGAACTATATTTTGATATTACTTCAAGCAGTTTTACATATTAACAATAGTGAATCTCATTTTCTTTTTAAATTCATAACTGACATTCTTTTAGTGTTCTTATAAATGTACAATTATCTTTAAAGGGATTTGTTCAATTTCATTAATTTTTTCTCTTTCAAATGAATTATATACATTTGAATTTTGAAGTAAAATAAGTAAAGGATCAGTCTACTTGTTCAAAGATATGTGTGACACACACAACTTGGAAAACAATTCTGTATTATGCAGAATAGTTTCCATGTGAAACCTGACCTAACAAAAACTGTACTAACAGAGAGAATTGAGTGGCCACTCAAAGTAGTCAAGCTAATTTTAACTTTATGATTTGGAAAAATTCGTGGATGCAGACAACAGAATGATTTTAGCATTATGAGCATATAGCTTGGAATAGTAAGGTATTGACATTGCAATATTTATTATATTAAGTTTAAAATCTCTTTACAACTGATTTACTCCTTGTAGGACATAGGTAAAAGAAATAATTGTCAGCATGAACTTAACACATATTATTTGCTAGTCATTGTTCCAAGCATTTGATTCATTGAATCTTCATAACTGCCCCGTGAAGTAGATACCGATTTTGATTTTGATTTTGATTTTTCTACCTGTGATGCTCTTGTAACTGGGGGAGCAAAATTTCAGGTGGATTGCCCGGTTCCCACACTGGGAGTTGAACATGGGCTGTCTGGGTGACAGGCACTAAATGCTAACCACTAGACAACATAGGTTCTTGGCCTTGCTAACCCTGAAGAGTGGGGGCAGGACCCTGGAGGCATGGTGAGCTTCCCATTCAAATAAATATAGTGGACCAAAGGGGGTTTGCAGAAAAGTGATTTATTAGAGAGAGAGAAAAAGAGAGAGAGAGGCAGAGAAAGAAGACAGCTCCCATGCTGTCATGGGAGGGGACCCAGAGAAGGAATCCCTGTAGGTAGGAACAGCTGAGGGTTTAACCTGTGAGTTACTCCTGCCCCATTCATGTTCTTGTCCAATGAGAGGAGTTCTTTCAAACTTTCTCTGGAGTTTGAAGTCAAAGATTGGTCTTTGACTCTGATACCAGATAGGCTACTTGGTCCACAACTCTGAGTAATAGAGCCCTGTCCTCCTGGAGCTTTCGTAGGATTTTCTGGGATAAAGGAACCTCACCTGGCTTTCTCCACCTAGTCCACAGGCAGGGGGAAACCCAGACAAAGAACTTTGTATTTGAAACCCCTCTGGTTCCCAGATGGAGGTGTGGAGTGGGGAGAATCCTGCCGTTGAAATCATGGCTATTGCAGACCCAGGAGAGAAGAGCTTATATAACACAATCCCTCACTCTCATATGAGGAAGAGATAATTTAAGCTTTGTTAGCCATCTTGTGATCATTATGCAAACATTCTCAACACATTAGAGATGAAAAATGCAAAGAGGAAGGACTTCAAGTCCTTGATTATAATAGGTGAGAAGAGAGAAAACAATCATTTTGAAAAGATTCAGGCATTGAATACATATATGAGAAAAGAGGAAAGTTTGAAAATAAATCATCTAAGCTTTTACTTTAGGAAATAAAAAAAAGAGCAAATTAAATCCAAAGTATGCAGGTAAAAACAATAAATATTAGAACAGGAAAAAATAAAATAAAATTGAAAAAACAATCAATACAGAAAAGCTATGAAAAAAAGTTGATTATTTGAAAGCTGAAACCAATAACCCTCAATCCAGAGTAACTCAGAAAAAAAGAAACAGGGTAAACATTACTAACATCAGAAATAAAATACAGCATTATTACAAATCCCATAGACATTTAAAGGATAATAAAAATTAAACCAAAAATTCAGCACCCACAAATTTGTTAACCTAGATTAAATGAACCAATTCTTTGTAAGACACAATCTGCTAAAACTCATTCAAGCAGAAACTGGCAATCTGGATAGGCCTATACTTATAAAAGAAATCGTATTACTTATTAATCACCCGTTCCAAGCAAAAAGTTTCAAGCCCAGATGGATTCATTGATAAATTCTAACAAACGTTTTAAGGAAGAAAATTTATCAATCCTCTACACTCTCTTTCATAAGATAGCAGAATAAATACTTTCTAACTCATCATATGAGGTCATTATTATCTAATACCAAAACCAGACAAAAGCATTACAAGAAAAGAAAGCTGCAGAAAAATCTCTCTTCTCTCTTCTATTTTTGCATAGATACAAAAATCCTCAACAGAATATTAGCAAATAGAATCCGATAACATATGAAAAGAAATATACAGGCCAAGGCACAGTGGTGGCTTATGCCTGTACTCCCAGCACTTTGGGAGGCCAAGGCAGATGGATGACAGAGTCTGGAGTTCAAGACCAACCTGGCCAACATAGTGAAGCCCCATCTCTACTAAAAATACAAAAGAAATTAGCTGGGCATGGTGGCGGGTGACTGTAGTCCCAGCTCCTTAGGAGACAAAGGCAGGAGAATCACTTGAACCCAGGAGGCGGAGGTTGCAGTGAGCCAAGATCTCACCACTGCACTCCAGCCTGGGTGACACAGGGAGACTCTCTCTCAAAAAAAAAAAAAAAAAAAAAATTATACACCATGACACTTCAGTATTTGTCTCAGGTGTGCAAGACTGAGTCAACATTTAAAAATCAATTAAATTTACCCATCATATCAACAAGCTAAAGAGGAAAACAAAACATAAAAGATATATATAAGAAAATATTTATAACTCTGCTGAATTTATTAAAGAAGTAAATAAAGAGATAATCCATGCTCATGAAAACCAAAACTCAGTATTATCAAGATTTTAGCTTTTCTCTACTTCATCTATACATTTAATTCAATCCCAGTCAAA